CTAGTCCTGGTTGGGGTGCCGGTTCTTTCTCGGTTGCTCCTTTTCCAGTCCACCTCTCTGCTGTGGCCTGGGAAGGCAGTGAATGATGGACCAAGTGCTTGGACCATGCACCCACATGGGAGACCAGAAGGAAGCATCTGGCTCCTGGCTTCAGATCGGCAAAGCACACCAGCTGTAGCGGCCATTTGCAGGGTGAACTAATGGAAAAGGAAGACATTTCTGTCTGTCTCTCTCTCACTCTGTCAAAAAAAGCATATATGAGATTTTCAAAAAGTTTGTGGAAAATGGAATTAAAAGATAAGCTTAATTTGTCCAACAAATATTGAAATCTATGCATGTGAACAGTTTTCAAAAAGTTCATGGAAAATGCCCATCATACAAAAATGGTGCATGGATTTCAAAATAATTTTTAAAGAAAATTATTTATTCTGGTTTTTTTTTTTGATAGGCAGAGTGGACAGTGAGAGAGCGAGAGAGACAGAGAGAAAGGTCTTCCTTTTGCTTTGGTTCACCCTCCAATGGCCACTGCAGCTGGCGTGCTGTGGCCTGTGCACCATGCTGATCCGAAGCCAGGAGCCAGGTGCTTCTCTTGGTCTCCCATGTGGGTGCAGGGCCCAAGGACTTGGGCCATCCTCCACTGCACTCCTGGGCCACAGCAGAGAGTTGGGCTGGAAGAGGAGCAACCAGGACAGAATCCAGCACCTCAACTGGTACTAGAACCTGGTGTGCCAGCACAGCAGGCTGAGGATTAGCCTATTGAGTGTGGCGCTGACCTATTTATTTATTTATTTATTTGTATGAAAGGCCGTTAAGGGGAGTGGGAAGGGGAGATACAGACTTCCATTTTCTGGTTCACTCCCAAAATGACCACAAGAGCCAGTTCGGGCCCAGGCTGAAGATGGAAATCAGAAGTCCATCGAAGTCTCCCACAGGGGTGGTAGGGGCTCTAGCAGTTGAACCATCTCCTTCTGCCAGGTGTATTAGCAGGAAGCAGAACAGCATATGGCAGCTTAACTTGCTGTGCCACATAGACAGTCATTGAAAATAAATTCTTGGAGCCGGCACTGTGGCACAGTGGGTTAAGCCACTTTTTGCAGTGCCAGCATCCTATAGGGGAACAGTTTGAGTCCTGGCTCCACTTCTGATCCAGCTCCCTGTTATTTTGCCTGGGAAATCAGTGGAAGATGGCCCAGGTGCTTGGGCCCCTATACCATGTGGGAAACTCAGAAGAAGCTCCTGGCTTCAACCTGGTCATTTGGGTACTGAATCAGCAAATCGAAATTTCTCTGTAACTATGACTTTCAAATTAATAAATCTTTAAAAAAAATTCTATGCACTTAATCATATCCAAGAATTATTGCCGAGACCAAACCAAAGAACATTTCTTCCGTGTTTTCTTGTAAGAGTTTTACAGTTTCAGGTCTTGAGTCTTTAATCATTTTTGTGTTGATTTCTGAGTAAGTTGTATGATAAGGACCCAAATTTACTATTTTGCGTATGGATACCAGTTTTCCCAACACCAAAGATGACTCTCATTTTCCCTTATGTATTCCTACCATCTTCAATAAAAATTGTGTTACTACATAAAAAAAAAATTCTATGCACTTAAAAGACCTGTTGCAATCCAAGTGCACAGTTACTTGCTCAGCAGAAATGCTAATTCAGGTGCAAGAAGTGCTGGTATCAGGGATACCTTGGTAAAGAAGTAGTGGTTTGTAGAGGGCACTTAAGGGGCTTTTATGCAGAAGCCAGACAGCAGTGTTTTAGAGTTTAAGAGATAGTGTTGGTTTACAAATTACATATTCTGACTGGTGTTGTGACATAGAGGGTAAGTAAGGCTACTGCCTGCAGGGCCAGCATCCCATGTGGGTGCCGGTTCGAGTCCTGGCTGCTCCACTTCTGATCCAGATCTCTGCTGAGGCCTGGGAAGGCTGTAGAAGATGGTCTAAGACCATGGGTGCCTGCACCCAAGTGGGAGACCTGGAAAAAACTTCTGGCTGCTAGCTTTAGATCAGCCTAGCTCTGATCATTGCAGCCATTTAGGGAGTGAGATTGTGGATAAAAAGACCTCTCTCTCTTTCTGCCTCTGCTTCTCTGTAACTCTGCTTTTCAAATAAAATCTTTTTAAATTATGTATTAACTTCCAACTGGGAGATCAGTAATTAAGTCAAGGTAAGTAAGTCATTTAAATAGGCATCTAGTCAGCCAGTAATGATGACTTCATTTCATTTCTTTTTTTTTTTTTTTTGGACAGGCAGAGTTAGACAGTGAGAGAGAGAGACAGAGAGAAAGGTCTTCCTTTTTCCATTGGTTTACCCCCCAAGTGGCTGCTGTGGCTGGTGTGCTGCACCAATCCAAAGCCAGGAGCCAGGTGCTTCCTCCTGGTCTCCCATTCAGGTGTAGGGCCTAGGATTAGCCTAGTGAGCCACAGCACTGATCTTGTTTCATTTCTAAACACAGAAATTATTTTAAATGGCTTTAGAGATGTACTTATCAAAATAATGTTGGCAGGACTCCCTGGAGCAGCACAGAGGCTGCAGGAGAATGAAGAACACCTGAACCAGTGAGCCCCGAGTAAAGTGTTTGTGCAGCTGATGCAGAACTCCCAGTTTCTAGATGACAGACACATGTTTCATAACTGGAAATAGAATAAAACTGCCTGAGAAGAAGCATAGTGATAAGAACAGGCACAAAACCATGGTGTTCTAGGGTAAGGTCCTTTTGGTCCTCTGCCATTACGTCCCCTTAGCAACAGGCAGATCCTACAGCCTTCTGCCACCCATCCTCCAACCTTTGCGATTGGACAGGAGGTGAAAATTCTACCTAGAGTTTTAAAAGATTTATGTATGAGAGAAAGAGAGTGAGGACTTCCAATCACTGGTTCACTCCCCAAATGTCTGACAGATGTTCTCTTTAAAAATCTCCACTCAGGCCCAGTCCTCAGTCCCCAATCCTCTGTCAAAATCTCATCATGTCCTTTAGGCTCATCAAGCATCCATTTACACTATAACTGAGTTAACATACTGTGTAGACACATACAATCTGGGTAATTTCACTATTAAGCCAAGTCACTGACAATGAATCTGCACCTGGTTCCTAGGAAGCACTCAATGAATCATTGCAATTACTATCCTTGTCGTTAAAGAACTGGTTTATCAGGCCAGCACTGTGGTGTAGTGGGAAAAGCCACTGCCTGCAGTGCCAGCGTCCCATATGGGCACCACTTTGAGTCCTGTCTGCTCCACTTATGGTCCATCTTTCTGCTATGGCCTGAAAAAGCAGTAGAAGATGGCCCAAGTCCTTGGGCCCCTGCACCCATGTGGGAGACCTAGATGAAACTCCAGACATTGTGGCCATGCGAGGAGTGAACCATTGAATGTAATACCCCTCTCTCTGTCTCTGCCTTTGAAACAAATGAAATAAATCTTAAAAACAAAAGAACTAGTCTATCAGCATCAGCAGGAATGGAGCTTGAATTTCCCCATACCAGTTATCAGCTGTGTGACGTTGGGCAAATCCTTAAACTACTCTATGTAGCAGCCCTGCTTATGTGTTTGAGAGCTGCATTTAGCTCTTTCCTTCAGGCATTCTTTTCTAACCTCAGCATTTCTTTATAAACTTGACTTTTCTGTAACAAGGATTGCAGATCACAGCACTGTGAGAAGTTCTTGTCAATACCTGAGAAAATGTTTCTCAACCTTGTTCTTTTGTGTACTCATACAAAGAACATGTCTTGGCACGTAGTTGAGGTTCCAATAAACCAGAGGGTCATCAGACAAAATAACAAGCAGCCTAGAAAATATGCAAACCAGTTTAGTCTAAATGTGCTCATCTTCCTTGGAGAGATAAGGCAACTAACTTGGAAACATAAAAATAGCTTTTTCATAAAAGATCAAATCCATGTAATATGAAATAGAGAAGATGTTAGATAATTTAGGTTTGTTGTTGTATGCATACTTATATGGTAATATAAGTATGAGTAAATATATGATGGAATGGGTTCATAGTCAATTCATTTTTTTGTAAAGAAAAGTTGAAGGATAGATCCATGTTTCCAGTAAAGTCACTGTCTGCTTTTGTTAGAATGAGAATGGAAGGGAGAGAGGGGAAGCAGAAAGAAATAGGGTCTGTATTGGTAAGAAGATTGGGAATCACAGCTCCAGTGAAGGCGAGAGAGTCCAGTCTTGGTGTTATAGATGTAGGTGCATTTCCCTCACCCATGTCTTCCATTCAACCCATGGGAGAGGAAGCTGAGTGCAATTATATCATATTTGATTGTCTTCTAGAGAGAGTTTGCTCTGAAGTTATTGGAATTGCACATCGAGCCTTTCCATGACGAATGATTCTCTCCGCTGAAGAATGTAATTAACAATGCGGTGAGTAGCTGGACTCTTTTTGGGAGACCCGACAATATGCCTTACCAGGCAGTTATCATTAATCAAAACCCAAGCAAGAATATTAACAAAGTATTCACAAAAAGTGTCCAATAAACCCATTTGTGAGGTTACTCAGACATCTAAGTACATAATGCTGCACAAGGGTCCCCTGATCAAAAGAGCGCATCTCATTCCCTTGTCACAGCTGTAACATTCTTTACTCACTGGTTATTGTGGCCCAGTTAAATGAAGTCTTGCAGTAACATACAAGCATGAGGAACATAATACTGACATTTCACAAAGAACACCCCAGAGATAACAGAATTTATACATGCATAGTCTATAACCCAAAAGGTTTTACAGGACCCAAGATGTTAGCAGGAAACAAACAGCCTGGGAAAAGTGTTCTGAATGTATTACAGCTGGCAATGAAGCTTTTGTGTAGAAATAGCAGCAAACCTGATTCAAATGGCTGAAATGTTAACACCAGATAAAAAAGAAACTGCAAAAACTTTTCACATGACATTAGACAGAAACAAACACTGAAAAATACATTCAAAATCAAGATCATGCACTGTATGCCCTGAAACTCTTAACCACTGCAAACATGAAGATGAACCGTACCCGTATCTTTATGGAGAATCAGGAAGGCAGGACTGTCTGTTGCTCAACCATCTACACCCACACCTGAGCAGTTGCTGGACCTGTAGGGAAGATGTTTTAGAAATGGAAATATGTTATCAATGATGCCATATTTCTGACACCCCCACCTTCCTTATGAGCAAGAAGCCATCATTTACTTCCTCTCAAAGTACTTATCTTCCCCATATACAACAACTGATAGCATTTGTTGCCTATTTTATCAAAAAGAGACACCGAGCTGGCACCAGGGCTCACTTGGTTAATCCTCCACCTGTGGCACCTGCATCCCATATGGGCGCCTGGTTCTAGCCTGGCTGCTCCTCTTCCAGTCCAGCTCTCTCTGTGGCCCAGGAGGGCAGTGGAGGATGGCCCAAGTGCTTTGGCCCCTACACCCACGTGGAAGACCTAGAAGCACCTGGTTCCTGGTTTCGGATCAGCGTAGTGCCGGACATAGCAGCCATTTAGGGGGTGAAACAACGGAAGGAAGACCTTTCTCTCTGTGTTTCTCTCTCACTGTCTATAGCTCTACCTGTCAAATAAATTAAAAAAAAAAGAAGCACCAGATTCCAAGATTTTGTTTTATAAGCCTATTATCTAGAGCCCTCCACACCTGGGTTATTTTTGCTTAATTCCATGTAATTTGCGTTTACAATTCTGGTGCATGGGAATTGTCAAATTAGCATCAAGGACACATTTTTCTATACCAGAAAGACTTGACTGAAATAATGATTGTGTTTCTTTTTGTTTTCTGGATTTGCATTTTAACTATTTACTCAAATGTTTGGCCTTACTTGATTATAAAGGTGATTTTTAATAAAATGTTACATAATTTTCGAAGAAGAATGAGAATTTACTTTAAATGGTGTACCTAATGGAAAACATGCACGCATTCCAGCCCACGTTTAGCTAATTGGTAACACAGGCACAATGGGACATGAAGGCTGGAGCTGGCCTCACCTCAACAAACCACCACAGCAAAGTCCACTCTCCCCGATCTCCCTCCGTCCTCTCCACACAACCTGGGAGAGGCAGACTGCGTGCACAGAGATGGAGAGGGGGCTGTGGAGCCAGCCGAGGTCACTGGTGCAGGGACAGGTCCTGTCGCCCGTGTCCGGAGCCAGCCCAGCCCTCAGAGGTGGGGTCCACAGGTGGAAGAGCTCACTTTGGGGAAGTCCAGGTCTCTCTGTAGCTGGTTCTGACAGGATCCATCTGCCCCATGGCCCCTTCTGGGAAACCTGGCCCCACACACTCACTGCTCCAGTGGCAAAAGCCAATGGGCATGAGGGGCGTCACAAAAGCCATAGCCAATCAGCATGCTCCCTGGCACAGGGGGCGTGGGGAGGTTGTTGCTAGGTGATGGGCGTGCAGGCTGTGTTTGGGGTCTGAGGCCACCCCCTGTGGCCTCTGTGATCCTGCTGGGTTCTGCGGACCTCTAGCATTCGCCAGGAGCTGCAGAAGCCGGCTCCGGGTGAGTCACCGCTAACTGCAGCTCATCAACTTCTGGTCTTTGTGTCTCTTCATATCCCGAACGATTTCTCTTTTGGGAAGTTTCTGTAATGTTCGTTTTAACAATGTTTAAAGATATTGCATGGTTAATCCTCTTGGTTAATTTCTCTTGTAGATGCGTGTTTTCTAGTCTTTTTAAATATTTTCTATGTGTTTCTTGCTGTTAGTAATGACATTTTAAAAAAAAGATTATTTGAAAGGCAGAGTTAGAGAGAGAGAGAGAGAGAGTCAGAGAGAGGTCGTCCATCTGCTGGTTCACTCCCCACTTGGCCACAATGGCTGGAGCTGTGCTGATCTGAAGCCAGGAGCCAGGAGCTTCTTCCAGTCTGCCAGGTGGGTGTAGGGGCCCAAGCACTTGGGCCCTCTTGCACTGCTTTCCCAGGCCATAGCAGAGAGCTGGATGGGAAGTGGAGCAGCCGGGACTTGAACTGGCACCCACATGGAACGCCCGGGTCATGATATATTACCCAGTGATCTTTTACCCTCACTTGTCAATTGTATGTAGTTCGGGATTACACTGGATTGTCTGTAAGTAATGGTGTCATCTGGGTACATTGACAGAGTTGCTGATTTGTTTAGGGTTGATGCTTGTGGTTCGTTTTTGCTGTTTGATTTCCCTATTAAGAGAGGTGGGGTGGCCGGCGCCACGGCTCACTAGGCTAATCCTCTGCCTGCAGCACCGGCATCCCAAATGGGCACTGGGTTCTAGTCCCGGTTGCTCTTCCAGTCCAGCTCTCTGCTGTGGTCCAGAAAGGCAGTGGAGGATAGCCCAGGTCTTGGGTCCTGCACCCGCATGGGAGACCAAGAGGAAGCACTTGGCTCCTGGCTTTGGATCGGCACAGCACCGGCCATTTGGGGGTGAAGAAATGGAAGGAAGACCTCTCTCTCTCTCTCTCTCTCTCTCTCTCTCTCTCTTTCTCTCACTAACTCTGACTGTCAAAAAAGAAAAAAAAGAGAGGTGGGGAAGAAGTCAGGCATGTCTGGGTCTGTTCCCATGGGAAAAGCTTTCACTGAGCCTACCTCAGGTAGTTTGTTTTAGTCCATTTTAGACAATCTTGATCATATATAGGCAATCACTCTTTTTTGCAATGTTGCCAGAAGTTGATCTTTTCTTTCCATCTGGATACTGAATTTTGTTAAATGCTCTAACAATTAATCTAAATGAACATGTAATTACTTCACATTTTCAACCTACCTGGATGGTTTACAGGGTTTGTTTGACAATGTGGAATTCTCTTCATTTTTTAATGTGTCTTGCTTGTTATTGGCCTATGATATTTTCCTATATTGTTGAATTCATATGATATTTTCCTTACAATATTACCTGTTTATGAAACAAATGCTCATTAATTTTATAACCTGGTATTGTGTACATCATATATACAACACTGGCTTCCCAAAAGTAATTTAAATATATTCTCTGTTTATTTCCACTTAAAATGAACTTGGGAAATTTAAGTTTATTTTACTTTCTTAAAAATTTAGAATATTCCACATGTTTGGGCCCAAAATTTTACTTGTGGAACTTTTGTCATGGTTGGTTTGGCTTTTCAGAAATTCAATCAACTTATTCAATTATGTAGTTTTTTTTTTTTTCTGTTTCATGCTATATTTTTGTTTTGGGAGACTGATTTTCAAAATGTAACAGATTTTGAACTCTGGAGTCACATTTTTATTTCTAAGAATTTAACAATATCCTCTTAGTATCTTGGTAAGTTCTGTATGTTCTATAAGGAATGGTCCTGTGATAATTTCCTTAAATTGGTTATTGGTTTAGTAATTTTCTCAACTTTTAAAATATGATTCTCCTTACATGTTTCTGTAGTACTTTTGTGACTAGAAACGTTTCATTGATGTCTGTTGCATCTGTGTCCTGCCTTTATTTAAATATTCTTTCAGCATTTTTCCTCTTTAATTCTTGAGAAGGTAGCTGAGATTTCAGTGTCCTAACATATTCACTTAAGGATCTCCATTTTCTCTGAGCATTATAAATTCTCTTCTTAAAATATATTTCCCTTTATATATTCTCAGTTCTTATTCTCAAGACATTAAACTGTATCATGTTTTTATTGGGAAGCAAGGAAAAATATTCCATTCCAGAATATTAAAAACATAAAATTTTAAATTTTGCTGAACAGTTTGTAACAGTTGAACTTGCATTTTAGGCATAAATTCATTTTCTTGATATATTATGACAGATATATTCTTTGAAAGGTAGTGGGATATATGGGGTAAATGATCCAACAGATTTGTTTTCATTAGATCAAAGTTGCCCATGGGATATCTAAACTTAGAATGAGTTTGATATCACAACACTATTTACAGTCTCTGCAAGAAAAGTAAAGGACATTTTGTCCCTAGATTTCAAATCGAGATAGTCCAATTTACTTTTGGTTCTCAATGATATATTATTGTGTTGTATAACACCATGCATTCATGAAAAATAGATTTTTATTCAAACATTCACATTTGTACCACATTCTTTTTCTTTAGCTCACTAGGTCTAAAATTTTTCTAAAGGACATATTTTCTAAAATACAAGTTCATATATGTTGCCTGCTGTAATCAATTTCTTTTTAAAAAAGATTTATTTTGATTTATTTGAATGAGTTACATAGAGAACTGAGCTGATCTGAAGCCAAAAACCAGGTGCTTCCTCCAGTTCTTGCACATGGGTTCAGGGGCCCAAGGATGTGAGCCATCCTCTGCTGCTTTCCCAGGTGCATTAGCAGGGAGATAGATCAGAAATGGAGCAACCGGGATTCAACCAGCACCCATATGTGATGCCATCACCAAAGGCTGGGGCTTTAGCCTGCTGTGCCACAGTGCTGGCCTCTGTAATCAGTTTCTAAAGTGTACTCACTGACAAGAAGAATTACACAAAGTACACTCATCTAACAAGGCATGTTAAATTTAAAGATGATGGCTTTACCTGCTATGCCACAACGCTGGCCCCAAGTATTTGGTTTGGAGTAATACTCATCTGCAGTTTCCATAGATTTTACCAGAAAGTATCATTTGATAGTAAATCCTTTTAGTGGATGTATGGAATAGACCAAACATTGAATTTGTAAAAAAATGGCTTTCATTGAGATCATGCCAAGTCTAAGGCTTTGCCACTTCATGTTTATATATCTTTGGGCAAACCAGTTACTTACCTCTTCATGCCTCAGTTCCATTTCCTTTTAAGGAGCTATTTGCTTTTTTCTGGAAACAAAATGCTGGAAACATCACCTTGTATAAAATAAATGTTAGCAATTATTGTTATTATCTATTCACATTTTCCTAACTAAAGATTTATTTATTTATTTATTTATTTGACAGGTAGAGTTATAGACAGTGGTGAGAGAGAGAGACAGAGAGAAAGGTCTTCCTTCCGTTGGTTCACTTCCCAGTTGGCCACTACTGCTGGAACTGTACCAATCTGAAGCCAGGAGCCAGATGCTTCCTCCTGGTCTCCCATGCAGGTGCAGGGGCCCAAGCACTTGGGCCATCCTCTACTGCTTTCCTGTGCTATAGCAGAGAGCTGGACCAGAAAAGGAGTAGCTGGGACTAAAACCGGCACCCACATGGGATGCCAGCACTGCAGGCAGAGGATTAACCAAGGGAGCCAGGGCACCGGCCCCAAAGATATTTAAATATCTGTGATTTTATGCATAATGTTGTGGTATACACATTTAGAAAGAACTAGAAATCTATTTGAAATTATATACATTCAATTTCTTAAAAATTCCATATTTTTCTTGACATGGTAACTCAAGCTAGATTCAATTCTGTTTAATTTGATAAGTGAGCCATTTCTTATCTAATTCCCTAGATAGTGTAACTTATTCACTTGTTTGTGCTTTGTGATGGTACCTGCATCTTTTTCAAAAGATGTGCCATTTTTGGTCAAAAATAAATCACTAGATTAAATTTGTTATTTAAATAAAGGGTCTATTTTATGGCAGTAATATTAAACTGGTACGTTGATGCACTTTGTTCAATGGATTGGAGACTTGCTGATTGTGTGTGTGAATGGTGTGTGTGTGTGTGCACTCAGTTTAAAGCTACAATAAAACAATTTCCTTTTTGGGTACATTTGACTAAGAATAAAAGAGCTCACTTTTTAAAGGGTCAGTGCTTTTGATTCATCACATATGTTTCTTCTCTGTACTAAACTCACAAATCAGATTGTGAATGTTATGAAATCATTTGAGGGCCAGGCATTGTGGCTTAGTGGGTAAAGCCACCGTCTGCAGTGCCAGCATCCCATATGGATGCTGGTTTGAGAACTGGCTGCTCCACTTCTGATCCAGCTCTCTGCTATGGCCTGGGAGAGCAGTGGAAGATGGCCCATGTCCTTGGGCCCCTGAACCTATGTTGGAGACCCAGAAGAAGCTCCTGGCTTTGGATGGGCATAGCTCCAGCCATTGCAGCCAATTGGGGAGTGAACCAGTGGATGAAAAACCTCTCTCTATCTGCCTCTCCTTCTCTCTCTGTGTAACTCTTTAAAATAAATAAATAAATCTTTTAAAAATCGTTTGAAGGTAGATTATGATAAGATAAACATGTACCATAAGTATAAATCACTCACCAGGATAACAAAAAGGAGCTATTCCAAACATCCACAAAATACAAATGGAATCACAAATATCAATAAAAGGAAAAGTGTACCAAAAGTAGTATATGATAAAATATAACAGAAATAATGAAATGTAAGACTTAAATCCAACCATATAAATATTCTAATTAAGTGTAAATGT